CGACCGGGTATAATGAAAACGCGCGTTTTGCCTCAGGGAAAAATCCCCGGTCATGTCCAATAATCCCCGACCGGGGATTTAAGCTTCACGACCAGGACCCCCTCTGTTCCTCAGACGTCCAAAACGACAATACCCGGTCTCCTCAAAATAATACCCGGCCAGGTATTTCTGGTCATGGCCGGGTATTTTTGTCATCCTGCACACTTCAAGCCTCACTTGCTCCTTTCGACCCGAATCTCGTTCCTTCGCCTCGATTCCAATGCCGGGTCCTGAAATATGACATAAACGCACAACCTAGCGTGAAATCGGCTTAAAAGACGAGAATCAACATCTCAAACGGCTCAAGAATAGGGGTAAAAACATGTGTAATTATCGGTCTATCAATGTCACCAACTAGGAGCTAATGGAATTAATATAGCCATAATAATGGACTTTCGAGGCTTTATGATTGTCGTGGACTTGTGAGTTGGGAATTGTCGTGATACAAGTGACGCAGGCTATACCGAGGAGAATAAGAAGCTTGTTATGACAAGAGAGGCTAAAGGTGCAAACCTATTTCCTGGTTGGTCTATCTTAAATGGAAATAGTATTTGAACTACAAGAAACATAATAGAAGGGTGAAAGGACATCTTGGGTGCGTTATGAGAGGTAGAAGTACTAGTAGGACTTTAACGGTATGAAATAGTCACCAAGGAGATGACCATTAATTAACGGTTTAAGGCTAAGACGGAGTATTAAAGAAGGGAAGGAGGAGATTCAAAGTTAAAATGTACATGGACCTAGGGACCTATGTGGTGAATCATGGACAAGAGTTGAATGAGTTTTATGATATTACAAGGAGAAGTATAAGCTGTCACCAATAACCCTGGGTTCGAAGTGGCCATTAACTGCTTATGTACCAAATAATGGAGATAATGGATGCGCTACATACATTTGAAATACATAGAAGATGTGAAGGGGGCAAGAAGCCATCAAACAAACCGGGTATTAGAGAGCAAGCCAAACTCTTCCATGGACATTTACGCAATGGAGTTCAAGGAGATGCATCAACAGTAGTGATGAGTAAAGAATCATTGGTCAAAGTATCAATGAATTATTGGACGAAGTTTCTGAAAGAATCATAAGTGGAGACCTTAAGAAACATCGGTGATCACAGGATGATTTGGGAAAACACCACAACATCAAAGTTGTCTATGAATGGAGAAGTTAATAGTTGTATCAAGCAAATATTAGTTGAACATATTATCGATGAGAACTACTAGTCTACTAGAATCATATTTGTTTGGAGGAAAGGATTTAAGCTTTAGAGGATGTACAATCCTTTGTAAAGATAATTATTCCAAACGAGGCTTGGGGTCATCACAAGGAACAAATTTCGGGGACGAAATTTTTTATTAGTGGGGAGGAAATGTGATACCTCAATTTGGATATACAGTCAACAACCGACTATTAAATTGATGTGGCCATGTGGTAAGAGTTTCCTTTCAATAGTACTTATTGATAAAGCTAGCTTAGTTCCTGTACTCAATGGAAAGGAGTTGGACGAAAATTATTAAATTGATGTGGCCATGGCACTGCTTAAGTGGTTTCCGTTCGAGTCCATGTGGGACTGAGTTCATGTGTCATGATGAGTGGTACTAAGGATCACGAATTGATTGATAGAAATGCGCGATTATGTGTGTGAGACATCACACCGCCTACTTAAGGTGGAGGCACGCGTTGTGCTATGTATGTGAATGTGTATGGATGATGTTAAGTAATTAAACCCCCGGGCTGTTGGGCCACTAAAGGACGCAATAGATGGTCGGATCACTGCTGGACGGCGATACGTAATGCAACTGTTGATCGAGTATGATGGGGTCATTACTGGACGGAGATACGTAACGCAATAGTTGACCTGGCGTGGACTAGATGGCGAGATGTAACCCAGTGCCATTGCCGAGTTGGGTATACAACCGAACGACAAGACATAACGCGGTTGGCATACAAGGTTAGGGACACCGGACGACGAGATGTAAAGCGGTGGTCCCTGGTATTGATGTCTACGAGTAAGGATAGAAATAGAGAACTTCTATGAGTTAGGGATAGTAGAGAACTTTTATAAGCTAGTAAGGAATGATTATTTAAGGGCAGAAAGCGAGAAAGACTTTCGTGCTAGGAAGGAAATTCTCATAATGTGTTAGTGGGGTTTTGCCTAGGGAAAAGACGTTAGGAAGTAACGACTAGACCGACCCCTTCTCACTCACCAGGTTGAGCGAGGCGAGTAGCAGCACCAGCATTTGACGGGGTTCCCAGAAGCTCACGACGAGTTATAGTTAGAGTTAGTTTCATTATTTTTGTTCATGATTATGAGTATATAAACTATAGATTTGAGGTTATGAATTTGGGTGTTCTTGTTGACCATGGGTTTTGGGTCGCCCAACTGTTTAGGGCATTTCATTTGAATTTCTTGTGAAAAGACTTGGATTTATTTATTTTATTGAGGTTTTTGGAAAGTATTTTGGTCGGCTCCGGAGCCTTGAGTATTTCTTTCTATTTAAAAGTATCTGATCGTTTCATTTGTGGCACCCACGAGAGAATCCAAGCCGAGGAGTGCCTTGAATTGAGAGAATTGAAAGGCTGTCAATCCTGGGATGCGACTTAGCTTGAGTTCAACAACAACTGGTTGTGGATAAGGACGCTGACATGTCTCAGATCGATCTGGGTGACGGAGCTCTTGCTGGTCACTACTACCTGAAATGCGAGGACGGTACCCATTCAACTTAAAGCATGTGTCCCTGGCCAGATTTTTGGCAGTAGGTGCAGAATGAGCGCCCAACCGCATCGCGCTCCTCCTATGAGGAAGGCCGATCAGGCTTCTTCTTGCCATGAGCCTGATAAACAACAGCTTCCACCCGCGGACGTCGACTGCCAAAGATGTGACGGTATTTCTCGATGTTTGTGAAAAGATGATAAGCTTCGGCTAGTCTCGTAATGGGCTTCATAGTGAGGATTTGTGTCTTGACAGTTATGAAGGCATCGTCTAAACTCGTGAGAAAATCAAAAAGTCTCTTGCCTTTATTGGCTTCACGTTGTTTGCGTTTAACATCGCAAGAGCACTCCAACTGTAGGGCGAGTGAGGTGATCTCGTCCCAATAGCCACGAAGCTTAGTATAGAAGGTTGCCACCGACGTCGTTTCTTGCTGCAACAAGTTATAGTTCTACACAACTCGAACACACTCGTTGCGTTTCCATGATCGAATCGAGATTGAAAATCAAGTGAGATGTTGCGAGCTGTTTTGGTTATGCGGACGCTGCTGCGCATGGCCTATGACATGGATGTTTTGAGCCATATCCCTTGACCATTGCATCACACTATTTTTAGGCATCGTAAGCTTCTCCGCCATCAGTGGTGAGCTTGTTCACAACCAGCCGAGATAGAACCATCGACGAAGCCGAGCTTGTTCTTAGCTATAAGAGAATCCGTAATGTCCCCCAACCATTCTCCGTAATTCGATTCCATTGAGGAGATCACCCACTAACAATTGACTTGGATTATCAAACTAATGGATAAAGAAATGAGAGGGCTTCGTAACGCTGCTACCGCCGACACTACTCTTCGAAGAGCTGTTGAAAACCTCGCTTTCCTTTTCACTCATGCTTGTAGAATCAATGTGGATCAATCACAGCTCTGATACCATGTAGAAAACGATAAAAGTAAAGAACACGAGACACCGATTTACGTGGTTTCCCCTTCGGCGAGAACGTGACTACTCCACAAAGAGTGTGAGCTCTTAGGGTTTTTTCATTAGATGATGATGAGACTTAGGGTTCGACCAAGGCTTAGCCCCAAAGGACAATTAAGGAAAGGATCGTAATATAAGGGACGAAATCTGTACAATTTGGATTTTCATTGAAAATGCGAGCAGATCAGGTCAGTAACTGAGTGAGTAACCATGAGTAACCCGTCCACATCAGCATGACATCAACATCCCTCTATCCTATGGAAGCCTTCTTTCTTTTCTCCTTTAATCTTTAACGGACGATTTCTCTCTCGTTTTAAGTCGGAATTTAATTTTTTTGCATAGATAAATCAGATTATTTGTGCTCTTTAAAATGATATCCACTTTGATATATTTTTAGAATAATAAAAAATTGAGTCATTTTTTACCAGTCAATACCATATGGTATGCTCCTTTTTAATACCACATGGTAAGAAAACCCTACCATGATGGTATGTACATACCAAGACTGTAGGAAGGTTGAATACATGACAGCATGAGTATACTAACTGTTATTTACGACTTTCATCAATGTTTACCACAAGTTACCACCCTATACCACAGTGGTAAAGTATGGTAATTTTTTATCTTGTATTTTTTCTCACCCAGAAATTTGTGGATCCAATAGATCATGATGAACTTGTTCCTTCTGAGCAAATATTGTCAAAAACGACTTAAAAACGAAGAAGTTACCATATGGTATATAGTTGGTAATGGGAGGTATAAAAAATATTTCTCAAAATATATTGAAAATTAATCTCATTTTGTAGAGCACAATGAACTCGTTCCATATGTGCAAACAAAATTGAAATTCGAGTTAGAACGAATAAGATAAGAGCCGATTAAGAAAACTAGGGAAAATAAATGTTTTTCATTCACAACACTTAGATATGTCAAGTTCTATAAAAGTGGAGATTTAGTTATTTATAGGTCAATAACCCCAAGTCATTGAAAACTCAAATCTATAAACAAACAAGCGATATATGTCAAGTTCTACATACAAAATATTTAAAATTTTAAATGAGTAAGTTGGACCTAAATCCTTCACTAATGGATTCTCACACCCAAACGGATGCCTCAATCATTGAGCAATATTCATTGGATTTTCAAATCTTAATAACTAGAAGAATTAACTAGGATTAGCTAAACAAACAAATTTAACAAATTAAAAATAAAAATACATTCAGTCACATCAATCAACACGTCGCCCTCCAATTTTCTAATTTGATTAAAGCATAATTATGTCCAATTAAGCTGGTCGGCGATGTCCAAACTATTGCTAGCCAAGTTTGTGAGCTTCTGCTCCATGTTGGTGATGTTGGGTAGTTCACCTGAATCCGGGTCCTCAGCCATTGCGTCTTCGCAGGTTGTGACGTATGTTAGCACAGAACTCAAAATTGTTTGAAGCGAGTCTATGTTGTGGTTATTTATCGCCTCTAATGCACTATCCAAGTCTTTGACGCCGTTGTTGAAGTTCTCAACGCATGTGTCAAGTGCGCTCTTGTTCCACTTCCCTTCTGAGTCTTTCTTCATCTGTTTCACCTTCGCGATTGCGATCGTAAAACCCTTTCGTACTGCTTGGACCTCCATCTTGAGGATTGATGCTGGGTCTGTCTTCCCTGTGAAAAAGGGCGATATGGAGCTTAAACAATCCTTGGGAAACCGAGTCGACCCACATACTTTCTGGGTCGATGCTGTGTCAATTGAGCTTGACGAGGATAAATTTTCCTTGTCTTCATCGCCCTTTTTTTCATTGCTATGTGACTTCTCCTTTTTATCATCGTCATCATGGTTGACGTCTTCACCATCGTCATTTTTGTCATAATCTTCTGATTTCTTTTGTATTTTAGTATCATCTTCATTTCTTTTCTCATGATGTTTTGATTTCTTTTTGTTTTTTTCTTCGTCGTCGTCATCATCATCATCACGTTTTTCTTCCCTTTGCTTGTTGTCATCATTGTTACTTTTTTCATCATGGGTAGAGGATATTGACTGTTCGGCATGTGAAATCTCTTTAGAGCTCTTCGATTCATTAGCATAGTCGTCAGAGGGCGATATGTCATGGGTTACATTGCGAGGGACACATTTGGCGTCGGTAATTAATGTAAGAAAATAGAGAATTGCGAAGAGTAGGAATAGATACCTTGATGATACCAACAACTGCTTCATCATTGTAAATGAAACACTCTCTTTAGTTACAATATAGGTTGAAAAAAGGGAGAAAAAATGATGTGAAATTCAAGATGAGAAAAATATATATACCTATATGCACAACTTTGTGCATTTGAGAAGGGAGGGGAATATGGAAGTGAGTGGCGATGCTCAAAAGCAGGATTGCCACCCAAAATTTACTTCTAAAAGACTTGCAACATGTTTGAAAAGAAATAATTACAACATTAAAAGTGAGGTTGGAGGCAGTCGCTTATCGAGCACATGAATATAGTCATATCCATGTATTATTGGATGTGTGCAAACCAACAATAGACGCTTAATGATAATATCTAAATTAGCCAGTTTAATACCCGCATTAGTAGGCGTTGTCATGATCATATTGACATTATTGTGTTCATAATCTTTTCAATGTAATCTAGGAATTTTTCATATCGATATTAGGTTGTAATGAATAATGTGGGGTTTTGGGAACAATTGGAGCCAAAGGGTGTAAGTGTAGTGAACACAAGGGACGATCGTGATTTCCTAGTGATAACATAGTAATTGCACATATTTTCCCCTTCACTTTTGGAACATTTGGGATATGTTTGTTGAAACTAAAGGAAGATTTTAGGCTAGATTGCATTCGTTTGTGATTTTCATGGCCTAATGCGTGGAGGAAACCTTTGGGGCAACTTATGGGTCAAATGGAGTAGAGGTGGATCGAGAGCTGCTGGACGAATCCTGGAAAATGACCAAGGCAAGAGAGTCACATTCATGGCCGTGACTTCTCAGCCCCAACCGTGATATCTCCAGCCAGCCCGTGACTCGAACACAAGCGAACAGATAGTGCAAGTACAAGTCACTGTCAAAACCGTGACTCTCATCACAAGTCACGATCATGCGCGTGACTCATAGCCCACAACTGTGACTCTTGGTTCGTGGATTGAAGGAATGACATCATTTGGGAGTTCACGGGCAGAACGACCATGGAGATTTTTCCAATAATAGCACCCTTTAAAAAAAATTTACAAAACTAGCACCCTTCCAAAAATAATTACAAAACTAGCACCTATTTTAATGGAACGCACCTTAGAGGTGCGTTTTATAAATGAAACGCAGCCTAAGAATGCGTTTCCATCATAAATCGCACCCCTAAGATGCGATTTCTAATGTAAAACGCATCCCCAAAATGCGTTCCATATTTGGTCGCCAGCGACCTTCCGGATCGCACGATTGAGATGCGATCCAACGGGCTGGAGCATAGCCACGTCAGCAATCCGCGCGGATTATTGTGGATCGCACTGGCGAGGTGCGATTTCTAGCCTGGAAAAGTGGAGCGTCCATTTACCGAGCGTTCAACGCCTCGGGACGCGGAGATCGCATCAGGGCAGTGCGATTTGGCGCTGAGATCGCACTGGGGAGATGCGATTTAGACGGGGTAAAATTACCCTACCGCCCCTAAGGGGTGCGATCTGTTGGGTATAAATACCCCCCTTCCCCCTCGAGTTTCTTCACTCCACACAACCCATTCTTCCTTCTCTCTCTAGAAATTCATCTCTCTAAACCCTCCCCTCCCAAAAGCCTAGGAAATAAAAGTTTGTTGGTTGCGGCTAAGTCCGATCTGCCATCAGAAAATATTTCTTAGGTTTTTTCCTAAAAAACCCGCCGAGCCGAGCCGAAGCTCTGTCCGAATTACGCCGAAAAAATGGCCGATTGGTGGCAAGGAGAAGGAGTTTATGTCGATGAATTTCAAGCGGTATGTACTCATCATTCTGGTTTAATTTTTATTGTTGTTATAAGTTTTTTAATTAATCTATGTACTAACCTAGTTATTTTCTCGTAGGTTGGGGAGGACGTCGATATATACAACCAAAGGTATTATCTCGAGCAAGGACCGGTGGATCCAACCGACTTGTACGACCAACCCAACCATCGGTCAAGGGATGTTTAGAACGATCACCCGGTACATACAATTCTTCACCATTTGTCCTTCTTTTATTTTGTTAATGTGCCTAGTGTAATATAAAATAAATTTATGTTTATTTTTTAATCGTGTTGGTGGTTTTCAATAATTTAATCGAATACATAGCACCACTTACTTCGACCCTTTATAAAGAGATGCACGTCTAAGGAAATGGGGTTTTAAGCGATTATCATATCCTCCCATTACCTGGGAAAATCGGGTATTAAGAGATCCTCGGATCCCCCCTTTTTCTGTCAAAAAGACTGCGTTTCTAAGAAGATGTATACCTCTTCCGTTTGAAATGATGGTTCCAGTTGCTTTTGAAGTGTCGTATGCACCACCTTTGGGACCAATTCCAGGCTGGATCCAGGCCTAAGATGGCTGCTCTAATGCCGGCGTGCCGATCAGAGATTATTGTCAGGTTCGTCCTCCTGGTGACGTGGATTTGGATTTGTCGGAAAAACCATCCATAGCTATCAGCATTCTCTCCCTCAACAATGGCGAAGGCTAAAGGAAAGACTTGTCTGTTTGCATCCGCCCCACTGGCAATCAGCAGAGTGCCCTTGTACTTGCCGGTAAGGAATGTACCATCCACAGTAATCACAGGGATACAAAAGCCAAAACCATCAATAGAAGGCTTGAATGCCCAAAACAGTCTGCGAAAATGGTGTTCGTTACCTGCCTCTGGGGGTTGTATCTCTTCATCTTGGTATCGAGGGGAGAACACAGTCCCAGGGTTAGACGCCTCCAATGCCAGTATTAGTCTGGGAAGGAATGCATATGATTCTTCCCAATCACCATAGACGGCGGCCATAGCTTTCTGCTTTCCATGCCACGCCTTCTTATAGTTAATCATATAACCAAAACGACTTGCAATGTCAGCGATTATGACTTTCACCTTCAGATCCGGTTCAGCCTCAATCAGATGCTTGATAGCCGCAGCAACCACTCTGGATTTCAACTGTCGATGGCCTTGGGAAGTGATGGATGACACACATGTGTGTGTGTTGACCGCACGGGATATGACCCAGTGGCCGTGTCTCTTGCTGTTGATGGCCCGAATCCTAACATTGCACCCCTCGTGATGATTACGGCATCTGACTATGAGCCTTTTGGTGTTGGAATGAGTTGTGTCCCATTCAAAATGCCGAGTCATTGCTTCAGTCTCAAGGGCGTGCCGCACATCCTTCTTCGAGCCAAATTGTTGGCCCTTCGTAAACCCAGTGAGTGGGCCCCATATTGGGACCTCTGGCGGCTCCATGTCGCTGTCGACCATCCAATTGTCGTCTGGAATGTGATTGTAGTAGGGGACTGGTACACGGTCAGGAGCCACATCATGATCATTATCTGAATCTGAATCTGGTGCTGAATTATCAGCACCTTCAAGAGGGTCTGAGCTGTCTGCACTGACGTTGTTCTCTCCTTCTTCATCAGAGGGGTCGCTGACTGGTGCTGGTGTGGCAGCCTCCATCTGATCCTGCTCATGAAAGGCACTTTCATCAGCTCCATAATGGTAGTTGTGAAAACTACCGCTGCCTGTCAGGAAGTTGTACTGGGCTTGGTTGGGGATGTCCGGTTGAACTTCTTCTTCATATGACGAGAAAGATTGATGATGGCCAGCACCTTGCCCTCCATCTTGGTACTGAAAATAAGATTGAGGATCATGGTAACTTTGGTAGGGATGATCGTCATATAATTCACCTCCACCATGGATACTAGATGTTTGACCGTGTCCAGAATGACGTCCAACACCAACGGCTGGCTCGGTGTAAACGAACATCTCGGCTTTGGCCAATTTGTTGGACCTCAAGAATTCGAGCATGGAATCTAGGTCATCTTGAGTGGTTATGGTATATTCCTCATGCCACAATGACCCAGTTGCTCTGTTTGGGTATCGGTACACCATACGATCTACCCTCCTCGTGCCATCCATGCAAGTAACGTCAGTGCATATTTGATGGAGGTCTTCAAGCTTCGGTCTGGTACCGACCGTTATTTTCTGAAAATTGCCACCGACGTAGGTGGCCCCCTTTCCGGTCTCTTCCGTGTAACCATTCCACCGTAAGCCAAGCGTTAACTGACGGAATGCCATATGCACACAAACAAACCGTAGTTTAGTTAATATCATAAAAATCACAAATCACAATAAAAAGTAACACAAAATAAACTTACGAGTTAATTTTAATGGCATAAAAAGTAACACAAAATAAACTTACGAGTTAATGTTAATGGCATAAAAAGTAACACAAAATAAAGTTACGAGTTAATGTTAATGGCATAAAAAGTAACAAAAAAAAACTTACGAGTTAATCTTAATGGCAAACACACTAAATAAATATAGATATACAACAGAAAAATGAAAGAGAGAATGAGAGGTGTGAAGAGTAGAGGTTTTCCGGCAAGTCTTATATAGGGGAAAAAATTGTGAAAACCGCACCTCTAGGGTGCGGTTTTAGTCTGCCATGCAGCCCTACGTGCATAATTCTCTGCATGGCTGTGTCGGGTGTCGGAAAATAATTGACACGTAAACCGCACTTGGGGGGTACGATCTACATGGCTAAACCGCACCTTACAGATGCGGTTCATTTTTGGAGGAATAAATCGCATCTCTAAGGTGCGGTTTAGGTAGGTCAGGCCTAAACCGCACCTCGGCCATGCGTTTCATGTAGGCCAGACATGAAAACGCATTGCCAAGGTGCGATTTAGGTCCACCAGATTAGAACGCACCCTCCAGGTGCGGTTTACATATAAAACGCACCTGGGGGATGCGGTTTATATGTAAAACGCATCACGAGGGTGCGGTCAATAAAAAAGGGTGCTAGTTTTGTAAATATTTTTGAGAGGGTGCTAGTTTTGTAATTTTTATTTTTAAAGGTGCTATTTCTGGAAAAAACTCAACGACCATGTCACGGCCGTTACGTGGGTTGTGACGTGGGTCGTGACTTGCCAATCCTCAGGGAAACAAAAGGTAGATTCGGGCAAAAGAGAGGGGATCTGATTTTCACTTAACAAACAACCTAAAGAGAGCTCTAGAGAGAGAAAGTGATGAAGA